CTGGCCGTTTCTTCTTAATTTCTACTGTTTTTTTTCCCTCGTTTACTTTCGCATTTTAAATAATATTAAATAAAAAAAAAACTTATAGGTGATTTAATTGGTAAAGCAAAAAAAAAATGTTTATGTTGCTAGTAAACTTCTTACGACTACGATCACCATCACTCGAAAAACAGCAACAACAGCAACAGTGACAGAAAGATATGATCTAAAAAGTAAAATACTTCTGTGAAATATGACAGTAATCTGCAATACCAGACTAAGTGTCTTCTCAGAAGGATCTAACAAAAAGAAAGCCTACTGAGGGTTTAACAAGTGGAACAGTAGTAATGTTGTCTAACTATGCTAGATAAAGCAAAAAAAGTAGACAAGTTCTGCATTTGCAGTGCTATTGAAAATTGCAGTTAGAATTTGTGCTTATCGACTGAAATCCAAAAGAACAAAACTGTTGTCAAAGAAGAATGCAACTTATAAGATTTCTTTATGCTTATTTAATTTCTATAGAGCATTACAAGTGTTTTGACAGTTTTAAATCATTCAGGTAACTTATTCACGATGATATAAAAATATTAGTGCCGTAAGTATCAACAGGAGATCAACGTCAATTAATATGGTTTATTGAACATTGGTGTAGAAGAAGCGTACATTTGCTGTCAAAACTACCTTCAAAAAGTACCTTCAATGTATAGGAATAAAGAGAATGTTGACCAGAGAAATGATGCAGACGTCGTTCCAAAAACAATGTTAACAGTCAGTATATAGCTGATCATTAGTTAAGATTCTCGAATTAGACGACAAGTTCTTCAAACAAGGAATAAAGTGAAGAAAAAAAAAATAACAGTTTTTTCATTTTTTTTTGTTTGACAGTAATTTTTGAAGAATTTGTAAAGAATTTGATTAAAAGTTATGCTAAGAAATGAAAATTATTTGAAAGTAATAGCAGAATGACGACTGGCGCTGTTATGTTGTTTAGCGTCAAAGTTTTCAGCAAAAACAACACAACAACAGCTGAGAGATGGCGATTGGCGTTAATTTATTTTTGAAGATTATCTTTTCGGCTTTCTGCTATTCACTTCAGAACTTCGTTCAATTTCACCGAAAAACATTTGTTTGTTTTTTCTTTTCTGTACTGATGATACTTACAGTGATGTTACTGATTTCTTGTTTGCTTTTTTGTTTTTTTTTTTTTTT